AACACGTGAGAAATGTTTCATTCAAATCGGAAACACTCATGTCCAACCGGTTTGCGTTTTGGGCTGGAAATGCTCTATAGTGGTTCACAGAATTTCGTAAAAATTGGTATTTATGTCACCGACAAACCGACATCAATGACCATAGGGACACATTTAAATCTCAAGTTTAGATGCTCAACAAATCTCACACTAGCGAATCAATCTTCGAAAAATCTTCTTTCATCTACTTGCATCGCGCATCATCTTTTTGCAGTAAATCTTCAGAATCGTCATCAATCTTCTTTCTATCTACTCAGCGTGCGCGCAGCTAGCCACAGCTAAACACAATCTTTTCTGCATCGTAAATAGAGTCGTTCCCCTCGGCAAAGACAATAAAATTTCTGACCAAAGCACACTACTGACATCTCGCTCCGTGGTCGTGGGGAATATTTAGCTAAGCCATGAACCCGCATGCAAAAATCGAGGCAAAAGTTATGAATTGGTTCGTGTCTGATCTATTCTGGACAAATTATTTTTATCTAGATAAAAAAAATTATGGTTGACAGTTCGGATCATTGCAGATTTAAATCGGCCGTTTACGATTTTCGGGCATAACAAAACCAACAATTGAAATGGCCTTCACTCCATTTTGTAAACAAATCTTGTAGGGCCATTTTCTCGCGAGTCGTTTTTTGTCGTTAGAGTGACCATAGATTTTTTGAAAAATGACTTTTTTAAAAAAATCATAACTTTTGAACCAAAATATATTATATTTTTTAGTAAAAATATAATTATAGTTAAATTGAGATAAACGTTTTTTTTGTGGTTTTCCTTGAAAATTTAGGCTTTTTTACACAACTTATCAAAAAATCCGCGATGTGTTTTTTCGTTTAAGAGTTATATATTTTTGAAGTTATAAAGTTTTGGGTTTTTTCCAATATTTGTGGGTCGCGAGCATATGGCATTTCTCAAAGTGGGTTGTAATCAACAAAACTTTGAGAACCGCTGACTAGGACTTTTACCTTGCTAAATTCCCATCTTTGGACCCCTGTGCATTGGCTTTGCGATTCAACTTCTTAGCAGTTTTAAAAAGCATGCTGAACGTCGTAAATACTTCTTGAGCTATTACGAAATTCCCTAAACTTCTACAAATTTGAAAAAAATTCTAAGAAGTTCGTTGAACTTTAAAAAAATCTCAGCACTATGAAGTTTTGCGAAGTTTCTCGAAGTGCTACGAATGCAATTCTCTTAGTTCTCAAAGTTCTTAGAATTCCTTTTAACTTCGCTGCACTACTGCAAATTTCACAGAACTTTTTAGAATTTCGTTGATTTGTTGCGAAATTTATTGAAGTTCCACAAAGTATTATGAATTTTCCCGGAATTTCCAGGTGTAATTTAAGTTCATTAAACTTAATAATTAAGGAGGTTTTGTAAATCTCTACTAACCTCGAGATGACCGCGAGTAATCGGTTCAGTTCCTTTAAATCTAGATTTAAGACATCAATTATGTATAACGCAAATGATAACTTGGCTCTGTAAAGTTTATTCGATTGAGCCTGTACAAATAAATTAATTAATAAAAAAATTAAGGAAGTTTTGTAAATGAAACGAAATTCTCTTAACTACTACGAGTTTTTTTTATCTAGTTCGTTTATTTGGAAGGCTCAATCGTGTTGCCTTTACGGAGCCAATAATTAATTGTTCATTGTTTTTCACAAAATTCACTTATTTCCAAATATGTCTAGTAGGAGTTGGTCCGAAAACTCGCAGCTACAGATATGATCAGGGAGAAGCTTGGGGTGGGGCTTCGTTGTCTCATCAGAGCGTTGTCGCCAATATAAACGGTAGTGCGGTTCTAGATTTGTCTGGTGCAGTGATGGAAAAGTTCATCAAAGTTCCCTATGACTCGCGAACTTTTCCCTTGGTGAACTTCGTGAAATATCGCGAACTTTTCCAACACAGGTCTGGTGTTCGACCGGCGCTTGTGACCACTGGGCGACGATAAGGCTCATCGAGACGGAGGACAAACCAAAACTAATAAAGATAGACAAAATAGCAAGGAATTAAATTCTTCTACTAGACATTTGCAGAAACACATAAAGGGTGATACGGTCAAAATTTGGTCAAGGGAAAACGCGTGTAAATCGGTGAAATCGTTTATTTAAAAAATCAAATTAAATTTATTTTTCATGTTCAATTAGTATAAAATTCAGGAAAAATATTCAGTTAGGCTTCCGCTTTTCCAAATCCGAATTGCCGGGCCTTACGCTTGACCCCTGCCATCAGATTTTGTACAGCCACCTTGTCCACCTTCTTCGCCGCAGAAAGCCAGTTTGCCTTGAACTGCTGCTCGCCCTTAGCAGTTTTTTTGGTCTTCTTTAGGTTCCGCTTGACAATAGCCCAGTATTTCTCAATTGGGCGGAGCTCTGGCGTGTTGGGAGGGTTCTTGTCCTTGGGAACCACCTGCACGTTGTTGGCGGCGTACCACTCCATGGCCTTTTTACCGTAATGGCAAGATGCCAAATCCGGCCAAAACAGTACGGAACAACCGTGTTTCTTCAGGAAAGGCAGCAGACGTTTATTCAAACACTCTTTCACGTAAATTTCTTGGTTGACAGTCCCGGAAGCTATGAAAATGCTGCTTTTCAAGCCACAGGTACAGATGGCTTGCCAAACCAGATATTTCTTTGCGAACTTTGACAGTTTCATGTGCTTGAAAACATCTGCTACCTTTCCCCTTCCTGTTGCCGTATAAAACTCCTGTCCCTGAAGCTGCTTGTAGTCGGCTTTGACGTAGGTTTCGTCGTCCATTACCACGCAGTCAAACTTCGTCAGCATCGTCGTGTACAGCCTCCGGGATCGCGCTTTGGCCGTCGTATTTTGTTTATCATCGCGATTTGGAGTCACTACCTTCTTGTAAGTCGATAGTCCGGCTCGTTTTTTGGCTCGATGCACGGTTGTAGACGATACACCCAGCTTATTTGCGGCATCTTGGAGAGAGAGGTTAGGGTTTCGCTTGAAACTACCGGCAACTCTCTTTGTCGTCTCAGCGGCTTCCGGTTTTCGATTTCCCCCCGATCCAGACTTCCTGGCTGTCGACAAACGTTCCCCAAACACTTTAATTACATTTGTAACGGTTGATTTGGCAACTTTTAGCGATTTTGCCAACTTTGCGTGCGAGTAGCTCGGATTTTCGCGATGCGCGAGCAAAATTTTGATACGCTGCTCTTCTTGCTTGGACGGCATTTTGACAACTGAAGAGTGAATTCCAAAATCAAAATAGGAGCAACATTCTACACACACACACCTTCAAAATGAGGGGTGTTCAGGTTTTTTAAATGCAAAGTTGAAAGAAATACATCAAGTTGATATTGACCAAATTTTGACCGTATCGACTGCATGTAGCAGAGATCACGGGTTCCCAACACGTCTCTGATAGGGACATATGGTTGTCTTCCTTGGGCATCGAGTGTATTCAAAAGTCGCTCCGTACATTGCCAAACTGCGTGATCGATGTCATCGTAACCCTTTCCACACCGACAGATGTTGCTGTCCAGGAGTTTTATTCGATGGATATGTGCATCTAGCGAGTAGTGGTAGGACATAAGTCTATTCATCACGCGAATGAAGTCACGACTTAAGACCAAGCCTTTAAACCACGCTCTAGAAGAAACATTAGGAATAATTGAATGTAACCACCATTCAAGATGTCCAGTGTCCCAATCGGTTTACTGGGACGCACTAAATGGTAAAATTAATCGTGTGGTAATGTGGTTAATGTGGTACAGAGATGACGCTGTTCCGCTGGTAGGAAGTAATGAAAATACCCATATAGAAATTGAGATAAGTGAGAATAATTCGCATTCGATGCATATTCAGGTCAACGAAAGTGAACGAAAACTTAAATAAATCAGTCAGGGATTTTGTTGTTCATTTTTTCCCGGATATTTATTTATTGAAGGACAAGTTGCAATTAAATAAAAACAGTACTTTCCCATACATTTTTTACCCACTTCACTACCAGTTCCAATAAAGCCAAAAGTATTTATTTTAACATATTCGTAGAGTTATTTCCTATCGATTGGTGTATTTGGATTTTAATTTCACCTATAAATGACAAAGTTACAAGCGTTCAAAGCCTAACACCTTTTCGTGACACTCGCAATTTTGGATTTACCCCCTGTACCTTACCGTAAGACGTAGTCTACGGCAAAAAGAAGCTTGGGATTGATTCCAGCATCTTCTGCTCTGCTAAGCAAAAAAGGGTCACCGCTAGACCACCGGGCTCTTTGCATAACAATATACCACTACGACCGACGATCATTCAAGCCGATTCGGTAACTTGAAGCTACGGAATAACGTCCATGGCAGGACTGAACTATGTTTTTAAAATCGGACTAAGTATTCGCCATATTTTACCGACACAAAAATACATACAAATACAGCTTAGGTCATCGTTTCTTCTGGGAAAGTGATCAATTATAAAGGAAACATTTTTTGTTTAAATGTCGTACAATCGAACATAACCTGAACATCGATTGTCCCTCTATACCATGATCATGATGTCTTTCAAAGGTTTTTCAAATCTATCGTGAACGGACCGTTTCGCACAGGGATCAAATGATTTGAAGTTGGTAGTTACTGCGAAACAATTCGCAAAGCGATTATAATTCAACAAAGACAGATCAAGAACAACTTGTGAAAAGGGCATACAAACTTTTTGTAAACAAACCTTCTTATGCCCTTTTCTCGCCACCCATATGACACCAACGCAAACCTTTAACATCGCCGGGTAAGGGAAACTTTCCCCTTCCCGATGATATTGCTGGTTTGCGTAGGCGACCCTCGGTTGGCGAGAAAAGGGAACAAAGGTTTGTTTACAAAAAGCTTGTATGCCCTTTTCACATGTGGCAATTGAGATGCTAATTTGCTGTTAAGCTATATCACCATGATCTGCGCAGTGTGTGAAAAAATGTGCAATAAAGCAGCTAAAATTGATCGATTCATTCCTCTCTTTCAAGATTCTCAACGAAATCGCGCAGCACAAAATCAAGATCTACGACTTCCCGGACCCATCGGACGAGGAGGAGGACGCCAAAACCCTTCGGCAGCTGAGAAGCCGCGTTCCGTTTGCCGTCGTCGGTGCTAATGCCATCATCGAAATCGATGGCCGTAAAGTTCGTGGCCGCCGGTATCCGTGGGGTGTCGTTGAAGGTTTGTGTCCCTTCCAGGATATTTTCCTATAATACCAACGATAACTAACGATCCGTGTTGTTTCTTCTTCTTTGCAGTCGAAAGCCTGGACCACTGTGATTTCATTGCACTGCGAAATATGGTCATCCGGACACATCTGCAGGACCTCAAGGACGTCACCAACAACGTGCACTACGAAAACTACCGCTGTCGAAAGCTGGCCGGTTTGGGTAACGACGGAAAGACCAAACTGAGCAATAAGTAAGTTTCCGAAATTCGTTCGCAATGTTGCCTACCTATAACGATCGCGAAGCGAAAGCGAAAACGCCACTAATTGTTTTGTAAATAGGCGCTTGTTTGCTTTTGTGCACTCTCACACACTGAAACGCACATGTTCCTGCATTGGGCGGTGGTGGGTAGCTACCGACCGCCGAAAGCACGCTCCACTAAATCCTAATTCATTCGATTAATGATGCATCATTTTGCCACTACCATTCACTAAAACGAAACCTTTCATTCTCATTTTACCTATATTACCACCTCTCACCCATTCAGCTTATGCAATATTGGAACGATTAATGCAAACTCATTTGGTACTGGTACTGGATGGTAAGTTTTGGTTTTTTGAGTTTGGCTTTTCGAAACGATTTTTGAGCTTCTGGTCCAATAAACATACCTAGTTAGCTAAATTTGCATGCCGCTTTGTTCATTCAATCATTCATTCATGCCGTAATTGTAGCACCTATTTTTCTGTGAGATGGAAGTTTGGAAATGATGTGACTAATTGAGTTGGATTTTGCACCTAGGAACCCACTGGCCCAGATGGAAGAAGAGAAACGCGAGCACGAGTCCAAGATGAAGAAGATGGAAGCCGAGATGGAGCAGGTGTTCGAAATGAAGGTCAAGGAGAAGAAGCAGAAACTGAAGGATTCCGAGGCCGAACTCACCAGAAGGCACGAGGAGAGGAAAAAGGTATGTGCCAAAAGATGGATTTTCTTGCCGCTAGCAAGATTTTTAATTTATCCAATCTGTCCAGGCCCTGGAACTTCAGATCCGCGAGCTGGAAGACCGCCGGAAAGCGTTCGATATCGAGAAAGCCGAGTGGGAACAGCATAACGGAGTCACGCTGGAAGAGCTCCGACGTAAGAGTCTGGAAGCGAACAGCAAAGAGTAAGTCGAACTTTTCCCCCTCCCTTTCATCAGCAATAATCTGTTTCAGTTCCGAAAATGTTTATTCGATATCGAGAAACGCTTCTTCCTATCTTACTTGAAGACTTTCGGTTTTACTTTCGACGGGTTTTAGCCAGAATCCGCCGTTGGGGGTTTCTTCATTTTCTTCGAATTTGAATGGCATTTTTAGGGAGTTGTAACTTGTTGTACTTTTGCGTAGTCTTCAATAACGATCTCGAAAACATTGCATTGTGTACTGCGATGAGTAGATGTGGTGATCTTGTTTGTCAGAATTTTTACATGGAATGATATTAAAATATTAGGCTTTCTGGCGAACTGGACTGGAGTTAGTAAATTATTGCCAATACCGTGTAAATCTAAGCGATGAGCAATGTACAATCGAGGAAAGCATGACAATGTCGTATTAAAAGAAAGATTTAAATAGAAGCAATGGACAAGTTGCGTTCGGGGTACCCATGAAATCCTAACCTTGATTAAATTGATCATAAAAGCATAACAGTCACATGTTTGCTTGATTTCCTAATCAAATGGGACTATTAAGCCAAGGAGACGCCTTAATCGATAAACAATCTCACCTCAAAAAGGAGAGCGATGCCTAAGCGATCAACAAAGTTCGATCGGATCAGGAATGAAAGTTCGTCTCGAAGGAAGGAGGTACAAGTATGAACAACCTCGCATCAAAAAAAGGAGACGCTTCAGAGAAGAATAAGGTTCAATTGATACATGCACGGAAATCTCGTCTCGAAGGAAGGCAACGGCTAAGCGATGAAACTCGTCTTTTTCTTCTTCATCGCATTTCAAGCTTATTGCATATCGCATATTAGCTTATTGCGTGCTCTCAATTTAGTGTTTTTAGATGCACTGTGGATATTAATTGATAGCTTTCGATGCCTGTACCATTTTTGCTTTAGTATAATTGTGTAACTCTATGCCCAGAGAAGCCTAAACCGGACCGGGAATCGAACCTAGCCACCTCCCAGCATGGTCTTGCTTTGTAGCTGCGCCTTCAGCAACTGAGCTAAGGGGAGGCCGATGAAAAACGTCTGGCCGTGTATGAAAATCTCGTTTCGATGGAAGGTGAGGCCTAAGCAATGGACAAGGTCCGATCAAAACCGGCCTAAAGATCTCACCTCGTAGGAAGGATACGATTAAGTGACGGGCAAGGTCTGACTGGGCAGATATAAACTACTCATCACAATTAAAGGAGACGCCCGAGAGATGAATAAGGTTCAATCGAGACTTAAACAAATCCATCCGCTGATAATCTGGATGATACCCCGAACACGTCGCGAAGTACTTTTCATTGTTTTTTTTTTCTATTTGGAAAGAAGACTTTTAAGCGACAGACAAACTTCAATAGGGTTAGGTAAATCCCGTGTGAATGGAAGGAGATGCTTGAACAATGTACAAGTTCCCATCGAGGTTCGCATGAGAATCTTTGCTTGAAGGAAGGAGACGCCCAAAAGATGAATAAGATTCAATCGACACTGACAATCAAATCTCTCGTCGAAGAAAGAAGTGTCTAAGAGGATAAAATGGAGACGCCCAAGCGATGACCAAGGACCACCGGTCAGGTCAGTTATAGAAAATGTCGCGAGGGAAGGAGACGGCTAAACTAGAGTCTGTATATAAGAGTCACGTCAAGAGAAAATCAGTGGAACTCGCATCACGGTTTTCGAAAGATTTCCTTCCTCTTCACTTCGAGGACTTCTGCATGAACTTCAAATGACTTCTGGGGAGAATACAATTTAGCGGCTGTGGTAAATCCTTACATCAGCGATTTTGTCGAATCGACTCTAGGCTAAACAATGTTCGATCGAGACTGACACAACAATTTTTCCTCGAAGGAAAGAGACGCTTCAGTGTTGATCAACTTTCGATCGAGGCAGGTATGAACTTCTCACCTCAAAGAATGGAGACGCGCAAGAAATGAACAAGGTTCGATCGAGACCGTCATAAACGTCTCGCCTGAAAGAAAGGAAACGCTCAAGAGATGAACATGGTCCGATCGGGACACGTAAGCAAATCTCGTCCTATAGGAAGGAGACGCTTAGCGATGGACAAGGTCCGATCGGATCAGGAAGTAAACTCTCGTATTGAGGGAGGAGCCGCTTAAACAATGCACAAAACCCTTGGAGATAGGCCTTCAAATCTTATCTAGAGGGAAGGAGACGCTTCAGTGACAGGACATGATCCGATCGAGGCACGTAAAAACATCTCGCCATAAAGAAAGAAGACGCCTATTGTCGTGACTTGGCGCTATTAGGTTAATGAGGCTTAATTCGGACAGCCATGAAAAGCTCGCCTTTAAGGGGGTAGTACACTTTGAACGTCCAAAAAGTAAGGCATTTTCGTTAATTTTTTAAGCAATAAAACACTCAGGGAAGGCAAATATGTTATAACCCATTTATTAGTCATCCTTCGAACTACAATTTGTATTTTTTTGAACTCGATTGGTGTCTCCCGGTGGCCGGTGCACCAGGTCGCGCGGGCGTCCTCGCGCGGAAGTCGGAAAACGGCGTGGGAAAATACTCCTTTCCATGTGATCCTGGAACATAAATCGAACAAAAATCCTGATTAGTAATGAAATTTGGGTTAGAAATACGTATTCCGATTTTTTTTAAATTATTTTTTTCAAAAGTTGTGGCCTTAGAAAAAAAAGTCCATTTTTTCACCCTAAGAATGCTTACAAAATCGTCGATTAAAAATCCATTTTTGACAAAATCGAAAATGTGGATACGTATTTCTAAGCAGAATTTAATTCTGAACAAGAAAACCTAGGCGATATCCAAATTTGATGATAACTGGTTAGAGTTATTTCCCACGCCAGTTTGAAAAACCCCGTTTTGAGATAAACGCGTTTAAAGATAAAATTGCTCTCTCAGCGCGCCGGTACATGTTTTAGGAAATCACTTCGTAAAGCGGTAAGGAATATTCTGGCGGACTTGGAGTCTTTTTTAAATTAAAGTATACATCCCAAGAAACATTTTCAGCCAAAATCAAAATGCATTTTTTTGAAAAATCAAAGTGTACTCCCCCCTTAAGAAAGGATCGTTTGAGGGAGATGAACAAGATCCGATGTAGGCAGGCGTGAAGGAAGGAGACACTTAAACGATGCACAAAGTTCGATCGGAACAGGTATGAACATCCCGCCTCAAAGAAAGGAGACGCCTAAGAGATAAGATCAATTGAGGCAAGCATGAATATCTCATCTTAAAGAAAGGAGACGCATAAGATATGAATAAGGTTCAATTAAGGCAAGCATGAATATCTCATCTTAAAGGAAGGAGACGCCTAAGCGATGGATGAGGGTCAATTCGGACAGGCTTGAAAATCTCATCTTAAAATAAGGAGACGCCTACATGGCCTTTGAGTCTCACTCATATTTGAGTTCCGATTGCTCAAATTCGCAAAAACGTAGGTCACTCATAGAATGAGTTAAAATTTTACTCAAATATGTGTCAATGTCACTCACATTTGAATGACATTTTTGCACATATATGAGTGACATTTAATCATTTTTGAGTACAAATCTAGATGGAGCTAGAATTAGGGCGTAATAGCTTTTGTAAACAACGGCTTCTTTCGATGATTTCTAGAAAGCCAACGCAAATCAACATCACCATCGGGTAGAAGAAGTTTGCGTGCACGTGCCTTGAATTTCTAGAAATCATCGCAAGAAATCATTGTTTAGAGAAGCTGTTAGGCCCTAATTCCAGCTCCATCTAGAAATTGAATCAGTCTATAACTGACCTACAATATTTGAGAATTTTAATAAACGAAACTCAAATCTGAGTTAGATTTAACGGCCGTGCTAATCAAAGTCCGATCCGGTCTCGATCACTCTAAACAATGGAAATGCTTAACCCGTCAACAAGGCACTTTCGAAAACAAATTACAGCTCCACAAAAATCGAAGAAGATAACCCCCAAAAACGGTCATTGCTCTGTGGCGATTCGGGCTGGAACTCGTCTATTACTTTCGCAACTTTCTGATTTCGTTCGAGTCTTCTCTTTTTTCTCTAACATATCATTTCCATTCGTTTCGCCTCTAACCGTCCACCACAACACCGAATGATTTTCCCATATACACCCAAATGAAAAATAAGAACACACTTTTGGCGCGCAGGGTGCGCTCGCGATCAAATTTGCACCAACTCCGGCATTGAGAACAGTTTTCTGTTGGATTGCACTTTCGTCTTGGTTCCTTCGCTGAGAAAAGGAAACAGCGAGACAAATAAATCTTTTGGTTGAAAGGGATTTCCACACTACTATCACAAGCTTTTTTTTTGGTTGCGAAATCAAAATGCAACAATTTTGAACAACCAAAGTGTTCGTTCAGATGATTCCGTTGACTGCTGGGATATAATATTAACTGTTGTATGGAAACACGTGAATCTATTCTGCTTTTTGCCGGGTTTTGATTGTGCCACAAGCTATGGAAAAGTATGCAAGATAAGGTTTTTGTGTTTCATTCTGTGTGATTTACTTCGTTTCTCGTCACTGTTTCTTTACTCTATCTCGGTTGATTATTCCATTCGCTTCAAATTCGGAGTTTCATTCTCTCTAACACCACATTTCATTCCTGATTTCCTGCATTCGCCGATTTACGCAAAATCATTCCATGTTGCATACCGTAAATTATCGTTACTTTTTATTTATTTATTACTGCACTCAAGAAAAAAAAACCAAGTCGAATAATAACCTAAATAAGTGCCAATTGATTGAGCAAAAAAAAAAAATCTAGTAAACCAATCACAATACTTGCCCCCTATTTTACGCCTAATTGCATTGTTTTTAAAACGAACATTTCCGTTTCTTCTTCCTTTCTTTTTTACTCTTATTTACCTACCACTACACACTCTTTTGCGATTAACGTCAAAACCAAAAATGCGCGCGTGACTATCAATGCGTTTTATCCCAATCCATTGATCACTGACATAAAAAACAAAACAAACAAAAATCGATTAAATAACAGGA